ATCTTCTCCAGAACAATAGAAGAACACTGGAAGCACCTTTATGCTTTTTATACAATTGTCAAACAAAATGGATTAGTTTTATCTGCATCTAAGATTAAGTTATTCCAAACCTTAGTAAGGTTTTTAGGATACAATATCCAGGATTCTACTATCACTCCTATTAGTAGAGCCATCCAGTTTGCAGATAAGTTTCCAGATGAAATTCTGGATAAAACCCAATTACAAAGGTTCTTAGGTTCCCTAAACTATGTTTCTGACTTTTATCAGGATCCTAGGCAAACCATTAAACCTCTGTATGACAGGCTCAAAGGAAATCCTCCTCCTTGGACCACTGTTCATACTAAATCAATTTTCTGTTCAGTCTAACAGACTCTATGAATGGAACATAGATGGTCTAAGTGAACAGGAAATTCTTAATAAAATTAGTCATCTATCCATGCTGTTAAATAATTATATGACCAATCTTGATAGCCCTGAACCTGAGATTGTCAAACTAATAGTTTCAGGATTCACAGGTGTTCTTAGAAATTGGTGGGATAATTATTTAAACCAGGAGCAAAGAGACAGTATCATTAATGCTGTTCTCAAAGATGATGAAGGCCTTCCAATCTTTGATGACAGGATTGGAATAGCTAAACCTGATGGATGTAATACCCTTATATTCACCATCATCAAACACTTTGTTGGCACTCCTAGTAGCATAACTGCTAGGATTCATGACCAATTGACCAACCTAAAATGTCCCACACTTAGTGACTTTAGGTGGTATAAAGATGTCTTTGTTTCCCGTGTTATGGTTCGACCAGACTGCCAAAAAGCTTTCTGGAAAGAAAAATTTGTTAATGGACTACCCAATCTCTTTGCCCATAAGGTAAGAGAAGCCCTTAGCAAAGACACAGGAATCATTGAATATGATAGCCTTGCTTATGGAGAACTCATTAGCACCATCCAAAATGTAGGATTAAAATGGTGTGTTGATTTGAGAATCAATAAGCAATTAACAAATGAAAAACATAAGGCTAAATATGAATTAGGAAATTTTTGTGAACAATATGGGTTACAGCCATCAGGTTTAGCTATTCCAATCCTGTCATCAAATATTGGAAGGCCTTCATCATCTTTGAGAACAGCATTAATGATACTGTCTCTTTGCTCCTGGTTTAAATAATTATCCCACCAATTTCTAAGAACACCTGTGAATCCTGAAACTATTAGTTTGACAATCTCAGGTTCAGGGCTATCAAGATTGGTCATATAATTATTTAACACCATGGATAGATGACTAATTTTATTAAGAATTTCCTGTTCACTTAGACCATCTATGTTCCATTCATAGAGTCTGTTAGACTGAACAGAAAATTGGTTTAACACATTTTTTTCTTCATACTGAAGATCTGGTGGAGTAGGTCTGGAATACCAGTTCTTTGTGGAGCTGGTAGGGACTCTAACCAGTGCATTGATTTTAGAATTAGGTTGGGTCATACTGTGATCCCTAAACTGATTTTCTAAGTTATCTATTTCAGAGTCAGAATCAGTGGTGTCTTTGGGACTATCAGATTCTGAATTGGACTCTGAACTTTCTTCAGTTTGGTTGATGACCGTTATCTGAGAAGTACTAGTAGATTCTTTCTTAGATAAGAGTGCATCAATCTGTTGAATTAGGTTTTTGTCTTTTAAACCTAAATTCTTTCTTTCTTCAGGTAGGTTGACTAGAGGTCTTTCTACTGAAGATGGTTTAATTTCATCTATTTTAGTTTCAATTTTATCCAACTGTTTACCTATAGTGATTAGGCTTTGGTTGGTGAAATTGACCTTTTCAACTATCTTCTTTTCAGATTCTAAAACTGGAATCTTAAAGGGAGTAGCAGTAACAGTTTTGGTAGCATATTTAAATTCAATAGTTTCTGCTGGTGGGTGACTAGAGGTCACTATAGCAGACTCTGTTTTCCAATTTTGCTGAGTCACTACTTTTACTTCTTTATGGAAGTTTTTTAAGTAGTCTTCAAAAGCAATTTCAGATTCTAACTTATACATTAATGTTACCCATTCTTTTTTAATGGTTTTCTGTGTTTTACAAGGTAAAGATTCAAAAGCTTTCCTAAGAGGTCTGTTCTCAAGGGTTTTGAAATTCTTTTTTAACTTGTAAACATCAGGCATAAAAAATTCTTCTTCCCTAGTGATAGTGTATAATTGATGGATCTTGCTAGATTCTACTTGTCCATCAAAGGCACTAACAGTGGGTGACAGAGAAGGTGAAGGAGTGAACCCATCATTCTCTGTTTGTTTGAATTCTGTGTATCTAGACCTTAATGGTACACTTATGGGAGTGTATACTGGCCTAGCTACTGGGTCTGAGGAATTAGCGATTCCTTTTACCCTGTGGTCAAGTTCTTTGGCAATCTTTCTGTCTCTATGGGAAACAGATGAGAAATCAGATTTTCTTCCTTCAGAAAACTGATCATGCCTGGGGATGAATCTACTAGATCTACTGGATCTAGCAGTATCAAAAGATATCTTAACTGATCCATCAGGGAGCTGTCTGATAGTCTCCAGATCAGTCGTGGCTGACTCGGTACTAGATTCTTTATCAAAATTTTCATTCTGCATGGTCCAAGACTCTGGTAAGGTCACATCTTTCCAAAGTATCTGCTTTGGTATTTGGATGTTGGTTTGTGCAGAACTGGCTTGTATTAACATAGTACTTCCCTTAAGACTTGGGTCAAGGCATTGTACATTAAGATTAGTACGAATACACTTGTAGTAAATCCTATAAATAAGTACTATGGAACTAGTGTTTTTTACTAATCTGGTAATATCGCCTGTGAGACGGATACCAAGAGTTAGTGCCATGTGTGTGTTAGGACAATGGAGGTCAAGGGTGAAATCAGGGAAGCAGTTAAAGTAGACTGGACCTCGGTGGAGTCCTGTCTCCATGATTCCCAAGACACTAGGTTCCCAATCTAGAAACCTTGCATCTCTTAGTGCTAATAGGGCAGCAGCATTTCTGCCTTGGGTAATAAGTGGTTTAATGGCCACCTGAACAAGACCTATGTGGATAAAATTAAATCCTTTGGCCTTGTGAACCTTAAGAGTCTCCTTAGTGAGGAGCTCACAAAGCTCATCTTCTTTCCTGAGAGGATGAACTTGTTCAACAGTTTTAACTTGGTGTTCTTCACTAAAGGTTTTCTGAACCCAAGTTGTGCTATAAATATTTTTTTCTTTAACTGGAGGAATATTCCATTTTTTCCAGTCTGTTCTAGTTTCTTCTATTTCTAATTCTTCCTCATTTACTCTATGTGACATAGAATAATCTGAAGATCTAGATGTGCTAGCTCTAGAATTAGATCTGAATAATCTACTCATTTTAAAATTTGAATTGTTATCAAATTTTAAATTTATATGTAAGTTTGACGACACTATACATACCCCCTAATTTGGCTCCAATTTCTCTCAACTTCTCGCCAACGATCCCTATCTGCCAATTCTAGGACTTACACTTGGGACACAAGGTGGCTTACGTACTCTTGAGGGTCTGGATTAAGGTTGGGTGATAGGGTGCGAATCTACTTACAAATGAATTTAAAAGATGAAACAGATAAAGATTTCAAACTGAGTTAGATGACTCAAATGAAATTTCAGAGATAATATATATATATATATATAACAACTAAATAAAAACACAAACACTTATTGAATTGTAAAAAAAAACACATAAAGAAAAGAGCTTTAAGTTATATTGGCCATACAATCATACAAAATTAAAAGAAAGTTAGGTTGTAAAAATAAAATAAACAATTAAGTTAATTACGGTAAGCAAATCAACCACATCCAACAAAATAAAAAAGTAAAAACAACCCTACTTTAGTTTTACTAATAAGATGATGCATTGATATTAAAATTGTAAAATAGAAGAAGATGAAAAGTTGGGGTTTGATGTTATTATTGAGAATATATCAAAATAAATTCAATAATAAATAAGACTCAAAATGTGTATTTATTCATAGTTTAACCATCAACTAATAAAAATAAGTTTAACTCCTTTTAACTGTTAAAGTTACCTTTTAAAAGGAAGATAAAAAGTTTGGTTATCTATAATAATACTATTGAATTTGTATTAATATGAATTTCTTGTTAATAAGATTAGTTTTGCATTTAAGCTTTATTTAAAGAGTAAAGTAATTCAACAAAATTTAAGGTTAATTAAGTTCTTTTAAAATGAGTTTTACATTAAATATGGTTAGTATTGTGATTATGTTTTCTTATAGGGATAAAATAGTTAAATAAAAGTTTTTCTTTATAGCATACTTTTATTAGTAGTGTAGATATAGATATAGATATTGTGTGAAAAATTAGCCAATATACTAGTACTCAAGATGGTAGCATAAAAAATATGTGAAGTAGATACCAATATTATTACATATAATGCTTAACCTTATAAGAATATATAGAAGCTTTTATCTGTTTTAGTTCACATTCTATCGTTGTACTGGTGTTGGTACTTTCATTGTCTTCATAACTATATTTTCTTTCACACAATTCGGATATTTAATTCAAATCCAAAATTTTCAACAGTCAACTAAAATGGGAAATTGAAAATTTTTATCGTTCCAATTATTATGGGAAATTATTAATCTAATTTGATCGAACGTAAAGGAAATTCAACCAATTTGGTTTCTCGAACTAATAGCAAAATATTTAAAATTGAATATCTGGACTTTTTTTCCAAAATAAAATCAGCAGTATTAGAAAATTGTATGACAATTCAAAATTTGACAAACATTAAAATCATGTTACCAGCTATAAAAGAAGCCTCAATCTTTGGCGATTATTAGTAAATACATGAAATGTATTTAGAACAGTTTACACATTTATTTTTACCTTATGATATCTGGTAGTCACAACGGGCTCCGACTAATCCAGATTCGAGCTGAGTAGGACCACAAGGGCGGCAAATCTCTCTTTACCGAGTATTTAACAGACTGCATTCCCAAGCCGAGGACCTTGGTTAAGCTAGTCTCTTACCGGTCGGCGAACTATGCGCTTGGTAACAATGTCATTACTTGACATTTTTTTTTCCACACATTTTTTGCAAATCATATAGTAGCACTCTTGACATTCGAATACGGGATCATCATCAGAAAGCTCATTACAACGGCAACACGTGACCTGCTTCGTTGCATTGCGTAGAAACTTGAGAGGGTGTGGGTGATCTTCAAACTCAAGGATGCCCCCAAACTTGACATTTCGATATGGATGCTGAATACATCTAGGATCAAAAGATTGATCACATTTCTGACAATGATAGATCCAACATCTTGTATTTATTTCATTCTCGCAAAATTCACAATGGAACTCGTCGAGATGGTCAAAGAAAGGAGGATAGCTAAGAACGAGGGGATGTCTATCCCATCTATGCTCGACGGTTGGAGGGAGCAAAACACAATCATAGCATAGCTGGAATTTGCAAGAATGACATCTGAATGCGCGATAATAACCGTACCCACAAGCATTGCAATGATCGGGCCACCAACTTTCACGTAGGGAGCGCTTGTGAGCTTAATGTACAATAGAGGTGGGCAGGAGAGCACATTTAACATCAATGGAGAGTTCACACCTGTCACACTTGTAGAAGAAACCGTTGTTGCATGACTTGCAAGCGTCGCAACCGGTGAGTGGATAGAATTGATCACTAGACTTTGACAGCTGGATCGGGTGGCTGTGAATTGGGGATTGTATCTCTCTTGGTAAGTTGACACAATTTAAGTGGAGAAAGTAATCGCATTGTACACAACAAAAAAATGGATGTGCAATTAGTTGCACGCAACTGTCACATAATGTTGTGTTATCGCTCATCTCGTTGTTATTTTTCATATTGAAATGTATGAGCGGATGCTCATAACTCCAATGTTGGATCTTTGGTTCGCCCTTAATCTTTTCAAGGCAGAGATGTTCAACTAAACATTTCGTCGGCAAGTGTAGTACATCAGGATCGCCGTCTTTATGATCCAAATCACTATATATGTATATGTTAGTTACTTACCAATAAAAAAACATTAGTTTTTGTTTTTTTTTTAGGGGGGAGGGGGGAGGATGGATAGACTCACCTCAAAGGTGTTGTTGAAGATGAAGTTGAGCACTTCACATGAATACAACATCTGCATAGGGCACAACAATAAGCCCAAGAATTTAAATTAATGACTTCACCACATATATAACAGTCTTGTTCATCTATTCGGGTTAACTCAATCAACCGCATGAGAATGAGAGAGTGATGGTGATAAGTATGGTTGATGGTATTAGGTAACAAAGCACAACTCTTATGCATCCAGAATTGACAGATCCCACATAAATAGGATGAATCTGTGTGTTTCGTGTCACAAATATTGCAAAAGCAAGAGGTTGGCCTTAGTAGGAGGGCTAATGGGTGCTCGTGACTTTTATGTGTAATGATACGGTCTGCTATGTAACATGGTATGCAAATATTAAATTCGCAAAACACACATGTAGCCGAATCCTTTCCAAACATGTCCACAAAAATCACATCCCAAATGACTGAAATGAGTATCAGTAGCAAGGAACTGTAGATTGTGTCGGTGTATGGAGTCTTTAATCCATTGTCGGAGTTCCGCACATCTTTTGTGCAGAAAATAATCACATTGAGAACAGCTATATGCAGGGTCTAAGATCTGTTTCTCACACATTTTGCAGATAACTTTGTGGCTTTCATCCTTTTGTATTTCCTTGAGGACCAATGGATGGTCATGGCTGAAACGTGTCAGTTCTTTCATCTACATGTGTGTTTGTATGAGAGAGAGAGAGAGAGAGAGAGGTACTAGGCCTCCGAAATTGTGAGGAGAGATTAAATGTACATAAAATCTTGAAGCGGATATGTCAGACTCATATAGGTTCTTGGGCCTAAATTTTGAGTAAGGCATCTAATTATATATGATTATGTATTTTTGACTATGTGTAGGGAGGGATTAAGAATAAGTACAACCAAAGAAAGGAATGAGTACTTGAACATAACTTGAAAAACACAAGAGGTTTCATGTTGGTAGATGAGAAAGATGGGGAGGGGGTGGAATTTAATCAATTTATATTACATTTAGAAGGAAGAAGATAGAAGCAATAAATGATTGGCGAAGATGATTTCTCAACTCAATTCCATAAATTTTTTATTTAATCTAACCATTTGGAGTCCACTTGTCTACAACGATAATTTGCCAATGAGAAAAATGGAAAAAAATAGTATTAGAGGTATATCATTTTGGTTTTTTTAGGTTACCCGTTACTATTAATTAAGTATATCGAATTCAAGTTGACTAATAAATAACTCGAATTAGAAATGATATAACCCAAACATGGTACCACTCGATTTGACAAACCCATACTCGTGCTCCTCAATTCACCTAAGGTGGGCAACTCTCTAATTCCGAGAGATGTCTAGATCATTTCCTATGTAATCCTAATCATAATGTAATTCGCTCCACCTTTGTTTTTAATAAGAAAAATCTTAAATTAGATAGGAGGTTGGTTTGATTGTAAGAGAAGACATTGCTAGTCTAAAATTTCTTTGCAATTTTAGGAAGACACTTTTGAGGGCATCTGGCTTGCTTCCATATTAGGTCAAGTGATTCTTTCCTTTAATTTCTTTGCCTGTTTTAAAGCATTTCTCTCATTTTCAGTGCTTTTGCCTTTATCCCATCCCCCACTCAGAAGACATCTGTTATTTTATCCCCTAAAACATTAAAAATCTTTTATTACATCCTGATTTTTTTTAAATTTTAATAATGTGAGAATTCGAAGTTTTGAAAAAACTCAAGTTGTGGACACCAAAAAAAGCTCAAGTAATGTTATTTGAACGTAATTTCTTAACATAATCAATCATTAACATTGGATTGACAATTTGAGCCTCGATATTGATTTCGATGAACATTAATCAAATAACACTAACAGATTATATCAGTAAGTTACCTACAAATAATATTCTTATTTCGTTATTGCACTCTATACCTTGGAAAAGTGCTTCTTCCTAAAGGGTTAGCTTTGTTCCTATCTTGATTAGAAAGATAAGCATCACCTATAATGACCTTTTCCACAAGGTTTTTTCAAAATAGCCAAGACTGTTTCAGCCTTTATACTTATCTTTGTGAAAGAGGCCATGTTTGCTCAATTTTTTTTTTTTTGCTAATTAAAAAAAAGGTAGGGACAAAGAAGAACAACAAAAAATCACCTCAATAAACCCTCACTAGCGGAATCATGTTCAGCATATCACCAAGAATGTTGAGTGGAGTGTATAGACAATAACCATGTTGGAACCCAGGCACCAATAATATAGACCTAAACCTACTTGAAACCCCAATGGTCAATTGGTTAAAAAGCTCCGATAAAAAAAATATATAATAAAATAAAAATTGGTAAAAAAGCAGCAGGCCTATATTTTTTTGGAGTTGACTACACTATCATTTTTTTCCCGATACCATGCCTATGTATTACATTTGTGATTATATTTAATACATTTGCGAGCGTTTTTACTATTATTATCGTACCAAAAAACATTGATAAAAATAATTACCATAACAGTGATATAAAAACATTCACAAATGTAATAATTTTTTTTTTACTGAAAAAAAGTGATAAAAATAATTACCATAAATGTTGTTAGTAATTATATTAAGACTTTTTGGTGTCAAGAAGGTTAACTTGCAAATCATAAAAAAATTAGAATTTCAATCTAAGGGCTAAAGTGTTATAATTGGAACTTAAAAGAGCTAAAAACACGGGGTGAAATATGACGGAATTGGGTAGCAAACCCAGGACGGACGTCCCAGCACCCGCCCCCTGCTGGAAGTGGTAGGTCAGTGGTTCGACTCACGTGACAATTCCACATAGATCACACGATGATGATGAACCTTAAATAGCAGCTAAGATTAAATCTCAACATTTACCATGGTACCTCACGACGACTTTTCCATTGACATTCAGATGATTTGAAGATGGATTGAGATAGCAAACAAGTACGCAATGAAATAATCAGCATTTCTTGAGTGCTCCCCTTCAACATGAATTATGATCTTATTTCCTGGACATTAAGCAAGCAAAGAATATGAAACTAAGAGGGCACCACCAAAACAATCAAGTAGTTAAACTGAGAATCACATCCATGCTAATCATATTGTTGGGAACTAAAGAGTATGCCAAACCAATAAACATTTATTGTGGATATAATTTGCAGCACAAGAAGCAAATTCTATTTTGAAGTAGTCAAATAAAAGAGAGCAAACCCCAATAGATTCCAATCTAAAACTTGTCCTCTTTACAAATCATATCCATGCCAATTGTTTGAATGATATTTAAGAGGTGCAATCCAACTCAGAAGAAAAATCACATGCTGATGAACAGAGAACTTCATCATTCAGCACTGGACTTCACGATGAAATTTTGGCGGCTGATGGGGTTCATGACCACTGGAGGACCAGCAGTGCGAGGCCATGCCTGAAACTTTTTATCGGTCTCTTCCCACCATTCCTTGTTTGCTACAGTATGTGGCGTAGTACCTGACTCCAAGAGCAAGTGATAGTAATAATGTTAAAACACTGCAACATTGGGGAAGAAAGTAAAACAGGAACCAGAACTTGCCTCCAAAAATCTTCTTGTCGGCAATCAAATGGTCACAGGCAAATGCAATTGCAAATGATCCAGCTAAAGAAGCAATTATATACTTGGCTGCCATGATTAAACTGCAGAAACTAAAAGAATAACCCAATGTCATGGGAGAAACAAGTGACAATCCAGAAAAATACACTTCCCAGTTGATCCTAGTTAGAAACAAAAATTCAATTCAGAATAACCTAAGAAAAAAAACAAGGGGAATTTTTTCTACCGGAGACAAGCTGACAACAAACTCAGCAGAGTATCAAATACAATCCAAGTTACAACAGCATCAAACTGATCTGATAAAAAGATAAAATTTCAAGCACATCAATAGAACGTAATTACAGAAATAATTGGCAATCATGTGACCATAATGCTTCATAACATGGGGAATATCATTAAACTAATTACAGGCCATGCCTGTTACTCGAAGACGTCACAGCAATGGGATAATATTCCCCAACTGTACAGACACCAAAGATTGCAGTCCCTCTGCTAAGAGATGTCATCTTGCTGCAGTCCCTCTGCTCAAGACATGTAATCATAAAAGCATGCTAATAATTTACTTACCTTTCAACAACAAAGATATAACAACTAGATTAATCAAAAGGAAGAAAGCAACTACAAAAATATGGTCTCTAGTAACCCCTAATTCCATAACAAGATCACAGAAGCTTGTATTAGTTAGCCTCCATAGGAATTGTGATGTCTTGAACAAGATTCTGGCAAACATTCCAAATTGCCAATGTTCTTGAACAAGGCCGAACAAAAGTGAAGTATCCTAGCCTCCTCCTATGACTATGTAAATCAGAACCTCAAAGAGGAGCCTCTCTCAACTTACTGTATTTAAAGATCCATCAACTGTGAGTTCATCTTTCCCATATAGGCTAGGGCCTTAACCAATGTAAAGGTTAACTCAAGTAATACATAAGAAAAGTCGTATGCATCCACAATAGAAAGAAAATTATTCCTAGCCTATGCATCTGTTCTGCTCTTACCCCCACCACAAAAGTGGAAAGAAAAGGGTAAACAGAAGGCCAAAGCCAGTGGAGCCACTCTCCAAATAATCGCGATAAGCTAGCCTTACTAAACCTAGATTAAAACAAAACAGCTAGGAGTCCTTCCCAATATATTGCCAGTAAAACCACTATCGGCAATAGGCCAGGGCAGCGTTGTGAAAAGTGCGCCTGAGCCCAAGGTAAGGCAAGGAAAGGGGGAGCCCACCAAGGATCAAATTTCAATTCTAAACGGTTGAATCTCGAAATGTATCTGTTTCAAAGAAGATAGAAATGATTGAATACAAATTCAAATGATTCAAGATTTTTTTGAATATTTCAAGGTGTCCCAAGATGTTTTAGCAAAATTCCACCAAATATTTTGGAATGTTTTGAGGTGTTTCAAGATGTTTTGATATATTTTGATTAATGTTTTGAAATATTCTAAAATCTAATATAAATTCTCAAATTTTTTATCCTTTTTCATTATGTTTCCGAAACATTTCAAAAACGTTTCCTTGTCCTTGATCATTGAAACAATTACCAAAACGAATTTTGATCATTGCACCTAAATGCCTCAATGAGCCTAAGGTCATGAATACACTACCTTTGGTTGGAATATTAGTATCCCCACACAAGATTAAAACTCGAAACATAAATATCTATAACAACAATGACTCACCAATATAATCTAATCAATCGCAATTACAAATCTTTGTTTTGGACAATTGATCTTTGTCTTTTTCTTATTCATCTATATTATTCTCTACCTCTTTTTTTTTTTTTTGTCTCTGTCCACATTGCTCTTTCTCTCTTCTCTCTTCAATCTTTTACTCATTTTCCTTTGTGAAACTAACCACAACTATTCTTAAATAAACTTGATTCATCAAAAAATAATTTTTCTAGGTCAATTAGCCCTTAATACTTTGAAATAAGCCTTTGATTCCAAGAAATATGTCTCTTCGTTCTCCTCTTATTCAATTTTTTGTCCGACTCCATTTAGGAATTTTTTGCAACTTTTCGACGAAATATGATGTTTCATTGGTTAAGGATGCTAATAATTCTTAGACACAAATATTTTGCATAACAGTGTTGATACTTAATATAATTTTAAAAAAATTAATGTTGAAAGCTAATTAATTTATATAGGAATCTTTTTTGGTAATTTGTTCTATATTGTTGAAATTAGCTGAAATAACGTGCTTTTGTTGCATTAAACTTTCTTAAAATTAGTTGCATTTACGATGTGTAGTATATAAATTTCAACATATTATCAACACGATGTGCCTTGCTTCGATGAAGCCAGGAGACCTTCTTGCCTAACATTTGGCTAAAAGCACGAAGTATCTAGCAGCTATAAATTTGTCCGAAATCTTCACTAGTGAAAGGGAACCTACAGCCAAGGTCCTCTAATTCCATTGTCCCAAAAAATCTAAATAGACTATGCCATTGTCCAAAAAACATTTGCGGACTCAATTTCATGCTCATATGCAATATTTCAGGCAAATTGAAACAAACTTTCAACGCTAAGGCCCTAATATCTACAATATGCGTTGTACGCATATCCCTACATACAATACATGCGCATATCACGCATGCACACAAACGTGAATATATGTACCCACCATTTCATTGGCTTTAATTCAATACACATTTAGTCACATTCAACCACAAAAATTGAAGTGAAATGCTAAAATGAAGCACCGAAACCCTAAATCTCACTAACTAGGGAACATCAAACCCAAACCGTGCCGTTACAGAACAATTACTACGAGATAAAAATGAGAAAATGAACCCAATTAATCAGCAGAAACACAGATCAACGAGGTTATTTGATACAGATTACATTGAAAACAAAAACCCTTAGAATATGACGAAGAAATTCGAAGCAAAATTACAGAATCGAAACCCCAAAAGAGATACAAACAGATCTAGAGAGAGAGAGAGAGAGAGAGAGAGAGAGAGAGAGAGAGAGAGAGAGGACTCGCCTTAACGAGATGAACTTGCACAGAGACGGGAGAGAGATTCTTCCTGAGCTGTGAACAATCAGTCAATCAGATGCAATTTGTAGCTAGGTATGTAAAAGAGACGGGTTGGACTGTTTAGGTCCAAAATATCCGAATCCGAATCGTGCACGGGCTGGGACGGTTTCCTGCCAAATTCTCGGGGCATAGAAAAATCCGGCCCTAAATCCAAACGGTCGGGCCATTTTTGGAGCTTTTGGAGTTAAATCACTTTATTTTTATATATCCAAAAGGTAATTTTATCGGCACTATTAATGGTGTTTTGAAGTAGACAAAAGTTAAAAAAAAAAAATTAGATAAAAGTTCAAAACTTCAACAAAAAAAAGTAGATAAAAAATTAAATAGATAATTACCTAATTCATCCATAAAATATATTATTTGTGTCAATAAAACCCATAAATTATTTTGTGTTAATTTATTCACTGAACTATGTAATCTAATTTGACGTGACTCTTCTATTTGAATGCTCTATTTATTTTGATGAAAACCTTCATGTGCACGTAAATATTTTGATATAATTCAAGTGTCATATAAGTCAAGGATTAACGTGTTTGGTTCTCTCTCTCTCTCTCTCTCTCTCTCTCTATATATATATATATATATATATATATATATATATATTTTTTTAATATCAACAAAAGTGAAAAATTTTTATTTGACCGAAATACCCTTAACAAAATAGTTAAAGTCTATCCTATTTTTTCTGTAGTTAGTAACATTATTAAATTATATATAATTGACACACTTATGTGGACCTTTGAGTTGCAATGGACCTTTTGTATCTTTTATATACCTTTTGAAAGCTTATTGATATTGATATTGATATGAACTTAATTATGTATAGAGGTAATTAACTCCTAATGCAATAGATGGGTCTATCTCTTCGTCTTCTGCCATCATGGTAATTAACTTTAATGCTCATCGTCTACTGCCATAATTTTCTTCCGCTTCACATTCCTCTTCCCAAATTGTCAAGCTCCATTAACAATGATCATAGCCTACCTTGTAAAATCCGAGTTAGTTATGTTCTAAACCACTAAATAGCGTCATCCGTATAGAACAAAGTTTTCTTAAAAGATAATGAAAGAGTTGTTTGATCACCTGCAAGGCCTACAAGGCGGACCGCTCTGAGTCGACATTGAACAGTCACATACATGATCTGAAGTTATATTCCATTGTTATCATCGACTCTCTCACTAGTAGTTGGCTCTCTGAATCATGTTGATTTCTTGGGATACAATGGATCGTCGGAGCACCAAACATTAATATTGAGTCTGGGAAAACATTTTCCCCATTACAAAATTAGGGTCTTACATGATTTGAGTTTTGATATTTTTAGCATCTTTATTTGCTTTATCCTCATTTTTTATGAGCTTGGTTTGGTGTATTCAAAATTTCTATGATCTGACCCGTTTTAATTTAGAGCAGCCCATACGATCAGACATGCAGTGAAGATGCAGGGGAGACGATGAGTATGTTGAAGGTGGTGTTTCCCTTGCACTCGCCAAGATTGGTGAGCATGCTTTCAGTTTACTAGAGTTCTCATTGTTTAGATTAGATGCATTTAACTACGATTCTCACTATATTTAATTCAAACACAATTCACACGGGTCTCTCTTAACAACTCTTGTGGTTCATTTTACACAATTACCCTTTATGTTACTCTCTCACACATTATTTGTCTCTGCATTGCCAAGCCAAAGGTATTGATTCAACATATACTACTATTGTATTAACTTTTTTTATTCTTCTATTTCTATAATTGTTTTATATGAGATGTGATCTGCATTAGCACATTGAGCAATGATGAATTGGTGTTACATTGGTTCACCATTCAATTCCCTAATTTCCTCTTTTTATTTCTTTTTTTGTTCTCAATGGGCTGGTGCAATTTTTAATTTTCACCGATACGAAAAATTTAGTGGGTAATCCACTAAATTGCTAGCTGGGTAATCCACAGTACCAATATATTGCTCGTAATCAGTATGGATTATTTTGATTGTTGGGGATGCTTGAATGCGAATGAGAAAGGGAAAAAGAACAAATTTATCGCAACTACAATGGTGCATTAGAAGAGAATTAGTATTTTGCCTTTGGCTACTTTTTGCTTTAGACTCTACTATAATTGCGTCATCTCATTAAAAGAGTTGACATACAACCTGTTCGCTTTTATTATCATTTTCAGGGAAGTGTATATGCACTTTATATCTCTTTGGATTGAATAATGTTATTTTTCTCAAAATTTGAGCTCGGTCTGATGATACACGATTTAGTAATTTAGTCACAAATCAATGAGAATATTATACCTGAGATCACGAGTGATGGATGACTTTGGCGTTTGTACATTATTAAATTCAAGGAGGCAAAAATATTTTTTCCCTATGCTCCTCATGAGGATTTTGGCTTTTGTGTCTATATGAACAATCAAAGTATTGACTGGACTGGCATATAAACACATAAACACACATACATTCTGCATTGATAAGTTTG